AAAATGAAGTGGGTGAAAATAAGTGGAAGGAATAGGAGTGGTAATAAAATTGTTACATAACGAGCGCATATATTCTAAATTGTATAAACTAAATGAAGATTTAATTTGAGGTGTATTTCCCCTTAATTTATGTTCCATTTGCGCCAATATGTATGGAGTATACATATATTGACAAAAAATATAACTATGTCACCATGGAAACAGTATAATCACATTAAAAATTAAATAATAAATATACACTCTCAAAAATTTACATGGACTCTTATGCGAACTCAGACATTTCAACTAAATTGCAATCAATGTTAACAAAATGTACAATAAAAAAAATATTGTTTACAATTATGAAACTTATCACAATATTGATATTACAATTAATTAATGAATTACGTTTGCAGGCTTGGGGCCCAAAACTGAGTCATACAAGGCGCAAAAGAAACCCACTGATAACAAAGGCAAATGACTTCCCTTTTACTCTCTTAATGACGCTATAGTTTAGTGTAAGGCTGTAAGGAAGGATAGTTTAAATTTAAAAAAAAATCACAAATTTATCAAAAAAAAAAAAAAACGGCATATGACCTTGACATTTGGTATTTTTTTATTTTTTATCGTTATCAAATTCATAATAATTACAATAAAACCTACAACTGTGATGACACAAAACTAATATAAGAAAAATAAACAAACAAACATATTTTTTAGATAAGTACTCTACACACAATTTAGGGAATATAAATATGTCACTTAATAATATGAACATCGCCTTTTTTAAATACACTGATTCATTTATATTTAATATTAAACATACATTTTTTTTTTAAATACCAATTATATCTCTTATATTTTAATATTTTTGTTAATAATTATACTGTATGAGAGTAATTCAGTAAGCTCAACTATCAAAAAATGAGAATAATTCTATCAAAATACCAAAAATGTTTATAAAATATTAATTTAATCTCAACAATGTCTAACTTGGTTTTTGTATAACAACAGATATTATGAGTTTATCATGTGATTATCATTTAACGAATACACTAATGACTATTGGAAACTTACAATCAGGTAAAAGTATATGTTCAATCAGCTTTGAAGAACGTGAATAAATCAAAAATATTAAATTATTACACATTTCGTAAAAGTATAAAAGCCATGATTCCACAATGCGTTCTGTACATTCATCAATCATCACTTCATTCTAACACAGCTATTCGAAAATGATTTCATTAAAAACCATAGTAGTTTTGGCAGTGTGTGGTTTTTCCACAAAGGTAAGATTTGTTTATAAATGTAAATATTGTAGATAACACTGAAGAAATTAAACAAATTTTTGATTTTCGAAGGCTGGAGCAAATCCATGTTGTAAGTGCACACCACCAATATATTTGCCACCATCATGCCCGCCACCACCATGTCTGCCACCGTCATACTTCCCACCATCATGTCCGCCGCAACCATGTCTGCCATCGTCATACCTGCCACCACCATGCTTGCCACCACCATGCTTGCCAACACCGTGTCTCCCGGCCCCAATTTCTCTTCCGGAACCACTTCCTATACCAGCCCCACTTCCTCTCCCAACGGGAATTCCTCTTCCACCCTTGCCGTTACCACCAGTTCTACCACCTAGTTTGGTACCACTTTTAGGAGCACTTTTACCACTATTAACCACCTCTCTAGGAAGTTTACCACTACCTACATTGTTACCATTACCTCTCCCGTTACCACCACTTCCACTCCCACTTCCACTTCCTGAAGCAATTCCCGTTCCTCTTCCACCACCATGTTTGCCACTACCATCATCATACTTGCCCTTACCACCACCATGTCTACCATCGCCATATCTGCCACCCTCGTGTCTGCCACCCCCTTGTCTGCCATCTCCATGTCTACCATCGCCGTGCTTGCCATCCCCGGCCATGTTACCAGTTCCGTTGTCGCCTTTACCGCCAACATGTCTTCCAGCGTGTTATTGAAGCACACTATGACAAGACACTTCCTTCTCTATTTCCTCGCCCACCTTCATGTTTGCCAATATCACAGTAAACACAGCCTACATTTTTAACATCTATGCTGACATTTGTACCGTAATATTATCTGCTTCACCGTCTTTTTGTCAATTCCTTTTCCATCATCATGTTTGTCATTACTGTCTCTGCCACTGACGTGTCTTCCGGCCTCGCATCTATTTTCTCTTCCTCCTCCAACTGAAGTCATCCATCCTTCGAGATTGTTCACTGCACTGTTGCCGCTCTTACAAATGTCACCTACTCATCACCTTGTTTTTGTCTATCTCTCACTTATTTGTTATGTCCCAAACAGCCAAAAATACAATAAAATTTATATAACATGTGATCATTGAATGAAATATATTCAAACATTTAATAAAGATTTACTGTATAATATTTTGTTTCTACATTTATTTAGAATAAAATCAACGTTAATATTACTTTGAAAATAACATTTGTTTTTAAACATAAACATAAACAATTGAACGGTATTAATTCAACTTCGATTTTCGAAGTTTAGGAATTTAATTCAATCCCAAAGTCAATAGGTTTAACTATTAAAATTAAATCGTCTTATTAACAGTGCTGTAAAGTGCAAGTCAACTAAAAAAAATATATATTAATAATTGATAAAAAAAAAATGAATGTCTCCAAAGTGGAAAAATTAGTAAATTTACAACGTATACAATTTTTCTTTCTTCAGCTTCCGCAAAATTAACTGTAAAAATAAAAAAAAACTTAAAGTACCGGAGTAGAAAATATATATCAAAATTGTGTGGAGCAACCTATCATGTGTGATCTGTGATGCCCAAGTATAGGCTTAAAATACCACAATTATGACAGTTTTTGTCAGTTCTTAGTATTTTCAACGTTTCGATTATAAAAATTGTGTTTAAGGTTCAATTCTAGCCCCTGTAATATTGTTTGACCACCAAAAAAAAATTACACATACTTTGGCTATAGATAAACTCTTTCAAGTATGACTTTTTTATCTGTATTTAATACATAGTGTAAACTTGCACTAGTCCTTTTTCTCCTTTTAACTTTTTACACTATCTAAAAATAGATAGTGTAATCTTCTACACAGATCTTTTTTAAATTTAATATTTTGTACATATGTAGGGATTATTTTTTGAGGTGATTTCATTTAAGTGGAAAAAACGTAAGATTTTACGATTTCATTATTTTAAATTATTTTTTGTGACGTTTTATAGCAGAAATCGTTTTCTAATGGGGAATTATAAGAGACTTTTTTGTGATATTTTGCATAAAAATTCATAGAGACTTACGAATGTAATATAATAAATTTAAATGTAATAAACATATTAATGAAAGGCTTTGTACCAGAAATTTCCGAATATTTCGATAACGTCTACTTTATTTCCGTGAATAGGAAATAGAACAATCTCTAATTTTTTTTTTTGTAGTATATGTATGATTTTTATTTATTTTAAAATACCTTACTTTACTTTTTACAATTTTCACAACTATTTAGTGTTGGAGTTAACAATATCTTTTGTGAAAGACATTATGTCAATATAGCAGATTATCTACTTTTGTAGAAGTATACTATCTCTAAGTAATTTGTATCCTATTTTTTAGTGAAAATAATTACGTTTCATTTTAAAGCCAATAAAAAATTAGAAAATTATTTTATATCATAAGGTGCCAGTTTCTACAAAATATTTTTCAGTTGCACGATAATAAAGTTCACATTAAATTATAGTTTTTATAAAAACTATTTATGTTGTGCAAAATAATTGTAATTGTGTGCTTTTGAACAATAAAATTACTAAACTATATTTAATCCGTCTAATTACTTGATGGACTAACTTCGCTCGTAAGTGCAGCCAATTTTGTAGGTAGGAAATTGTGAAGGTAGAGTATAAAAGATAATGCAATATGATTTTGCATGCAACGATAATCCATTCCTTATAAAAAAAAACCATTCTGAGCAAAGTTTAGTTGACAGTGATATTTTGACAACAATATCTATGTCATATTAAGGTAAAATAATTAAATAGACATTTTATACTTTTTTTAATATAAATTGTTTAATGTACCGATTTTCCCACGTTTTTTTTTTTTGGTTATTTAGATATGTTGAGAAAACTTCTGAAAGAAAAATTACGAATCAAAAAATTACCTTCAAGTCAAATGTATTTAATTGATCTTTGAATTTTTTTTTTATAAGTAACATGTAATTGGTGTAAGTGCTGTTGTATAAAAGAACCGTGTGTAATTTTATGTCAAGAACGGTCGTCTTTTGTATAGACTTTGTAGGCCCCAGTAAAAAGTAATATGTAAAACAAATTTTCGTATCCTCCGTATCATTTTGAGTTGAATATAATACGTGTAAAAACAACTGATAACGTATAAAAATTTTCTATGCCATTATTTGATATGATATTTTAATTGAATGAACCACTTTGAAATTGTAAACTATAAACCCTAGGATAAACATTTTAAAATGTTATTCTAAACAGGCAAAGGGGCACATTTGTCGGTAATTGATGGTTGGGTGAGAAGGTCTGAGGCTATAAAATGAAGTGGGTGAAAATAAGTGGAAGGAATAGGAGTGGTAATAAAATTGTTACATAACGAGCGCATATATTCTAAATTGTATAAACTAAATGAAGATTTAATTTGAGGTGTATTTCCCCTTAATTTATGTTCCATTTGCGCCAATATGTATGGAGTATACATATATTGACAAAAAATATAACNAGAACCCGGCAATTTCAGCTAAAGTGCAATATAACTATGTCACTCAATAATATTAACATTGACTTTTTCAAATACACTGATTTATTTCGTTTATCATTTCACAATTTTTTTAAATACCAATTATAGCCCTTATAATTTGATATTTAATATAAAATTTAATATTTCCTTTAATAATTTACTGTATGTGTTTAATTTAGTAAGCTCTAACTGTCAAAAAATGAGAATTCTATTAAAATACCAAAACTGTTTATAAAATATTAATTTAATCTCAACAATGTCTAACTGGTTTTTTAGTATAACAACAGATATTAAGAGTTTATCGTATAATTATCATTTAACAAACACATTAATGACTATTGGAAACTTACAATCAGCTTTGAAGAACGTGAATAAATCAAAAATATCAAATTATTACACATTCAGTAAAAGTATAAAAGCCATAATTTCACGATGCGTTCAGTACATTCATCAATCGTCTCTTCATTCCTACAGAAAATGATTTCATTAAGAACCATAGTAGTTTTAGCAGTGTGTGTTTTTTCCACAAAGGTAAGATTTGTTTATAAATGTAAATATTGTAAATAACCCTAAAGAAATTAAACATATTTGTATTTTCGAAGGTTGGAGCAAATCATTGTTGTAAGTACTTACCACCAATATACTTGCCACCATCATGTTCACCACCACCGTGTCTACCACCACAGTGTCTCCCGGCCCCTATTCCTCTTCCGGACCCACTTCCTATTCCAGCCCAACTTCCTCTTTCACCGGGAATTCCTCTTCCACCCTTGCCCTTACTACCAGTATTACCACCTGGTCTAGTACCACTTTTAGCAGCACTTTTACCACTATTAACCGCCTCTTCAGGATGTTTGTCACTACCTACTTTATTACCACTACCTCTCCCACTACCACCACTTCCACTCCTCCTTCCACTTCCTCAAGGACTTCCCCTTTCCCTCCCACCATCATATTTACCTCTACAACCGTCATGCTTGCCCCTACCATCAGCATGCTCTCCCCTACCATCAGCATGCTTGCCACCACCGGCCCTACTACCAGTTTCACTGTCACCTTTACCTCCAACAGGTTTACCTCTTTTACCATCTTGTCTACCAACATGTTTATGAAGCACTTTACGTTTTTTATACTTTGATGATTTCTTTATGTTTGCTGAAAATGCAACAATTTTATAAAAAATTGGCATATTATAAAATTATCCGTTTAATTATTTTAAATTTCTTACACAATTTTAATTAATGTACACATTTTAAATCGTTAGGCATATTCAATAATATTATTTCATATTAATAAAAAAAATATATATATATATTTTGAATTTTTCTTGTTCGTAAATATTGATCTATATTTCTCTAAGTCATGCATTAATTGATATAATTGTATCTAATGGTACCATGCATTGATTATGACTTTTTCTATTTCCAAATAGTGTAAGAGCTAATTGGTAATACATATGTAATATTTAGATTCTGAAAATAACGAAGAATGTATTAGTACTATTTTTTTTTTTTTATTACTGTTCAATAAATTGTACCAGCAATGTTGCTTTGATATTTTCGGGCGGCACTATTTTTGAAAGGAATATTCTGGAAGTATTGTCCAGATGGTATTTTTTGGAGGTAATTTTTCATTTTTCCAATCAGTTTTCATGATAGCTGAAAAAACCAGAATAAAACTTAATAAAAACGGAGAATTCACGAAAATAATATTTTTAATATTTTTAAATATTGTTATTTATTGTAATGCAATTAAATAACTTAAGGTAGTTTAAATTTAAAAAAAAAAACTTATATTTGTTATTTTTAGACATGGTCAAATTTTCAAAACATTTGAACTATTTTTGGGCTAGTTAAAAATATTTTATTTTTGTGACTTTTGTACGTAATTTGAATTTAGTAAGTACTCTGTAATAAAACCTAGCAGAAATGCTTGAACATTTAACAGGAGGTTCATTAAAAGTTATACTTTTTGGTCAAAAAGAAAAATTTGAGTTTAATATATATTTTTAAGTGAAGGAATTATAATATTAAATTTTGACGAAAATGTTTGAGTAAAAATTATATTAACCAAATCTAATTTTTTAATTAATGTTTTTAAATAAATGTATTTTTCCGAAATAAAAACGATGGTGAAGTCAGAATTAAGGGGACTGACTAATTTTTGAATTTATAGCTTTTTGAATACTATGCGGATATTATAGGTTATATTAAATAACTTACATTGTTTATGTCTGTCGTAGTCTAATGGTGCTATAAGTCTATATATATATATATATAGACCTATATAGTCTATATATCTATTGTCAACTTAAGGACTATGAGTTCTAACCCGGGTTTCGAAAAAAATGTTTTACATTAATTTTTTCGCTTTTACCTAAACAGACAAAAAGCAAATGCATTAAGATGTACCTATAGATCCCTAGCTATCGCGACATTGATGATGTGAGCGGTTTACATATTTTTTTTTTTTTTGTGTACAACTAATTTGCCAGAAATTTCGCTACATTAAAAAAAAAAATTACTAGAAACATTTTTGTTGATTTTTAGATGTAAAAAAAAAAAATTTTAGTGAAACCAAAACATTTTTCGCTACACACAAAATTTAAGAAGCTGTCGGAAACAATTAATATTAACAATATTATTTAATATCTAACCTACCATAAAGTAAATCTTAGAAAATCATTGCACAAAGGTTATCAAATGAAAATTGTGTATTTCCATTAAAAATCTTAATCTATACAGCACTTTAAAACATTAATGCATAACCGAAATTCGTTCAGAATTGTTTTTTGTTAGTAATGATTTATGATTGCATATGGAGATAAATTAAATAACTGTGTATATACCTACCTTCTAAATTCCCACCAGACAGAGACACGCTGGTCAAGAGTATCAGTAGTTTCAGGTGTTATAATGTATTTTTAATTTTTAATTCACCAATGGGAATAGTTATTTATTCAGATGGTTTTAGTATTTAGGTAAGAAGTAATGAATTTAAACTTAGAAATTCATTTAGAAACCCTTTTTTAATTCAAATCGACAATAATAACGATATACCTACTATTAAGTGAAGCATAGAAAATCATTGCAAACAGATTATGGGACAGCAAAAGGTTTACTTAAATTAAAAATATATATCAGCAACATGTGTTTTTGTGTTAAATCATAAAATTAAAATCAAATCAAAATATGAAGACAAAATTATAGTAATATGTTAATATATTTTATTCATACATTTTAAAAATACAGGATTACATATTTTGTATAATGCGATGTAACGTTCTAATTTCCTAACAGCTGCAAGGACAAGGAGCTAGCCCTAAAACTGGCGGTAAGTTGCACGGGCCGGGAGGTGGCAGTAAAGGTGGCGGGCATGGGCATGGAGATGGAATCAAAAATAATTGTGGTAGACCTACTGGACTTTGGTACACGATATCGGGTTTTTGGAAGAAATTTCCCGGGTTGAAAAACACTTTCGGTAACGGTGCGGGTGGTAAAACTACCGGAGGAGGTTGAGCCGGGGTCGGTAAAGCGAAGAATACTTTTGGTGCAGGAGGTGCTGGGGCCAACGTGGCACACGGATTTTTCACCGCGTCTCCTTCTTTGATGATAATGGGGCCGGGTGCTGCTTGAGGGAGGATAACGGGAGGCTTGGGCGGACATTGGTTGAGTTTCACAACCAGATTTGGAGACGGGCCGGCTGGAATAACGACCGGAGGTAATCTGCTGGATTTTGAAGGTAACTGAATAACCAGTGGTCCTGGTGCTGGTCCCGGAGCTATGACTTGAGCTGCGGCTGCTGGGACGGTTAGTGTTGTAGATACCGTTGGAGCAGACGCCGGCACAGCAGGCAGTGGAAGAGCTGGTAAGGCAGCTGCGGGTGCTTTTAGAAGAGGCAGCAGAGCAGCTAATGGGCTAGGTGGTGGTAAGACGGGTGCGGGCACTGGTGGAAGAGGAGCTAATGGCTTAAATAGGGATAATAAAGGAGCCAATAACGCTGGGCTAAGTCCGAGTGGTGGTAAGATGGGTGCTGGTGGAGGAACTGGTGGAGGAGGAGCTAAAGGCTTTAATAAGGCCAATAAAGGAGCCAATAAATCTGGACATGGGGGTGGATTAGGTAAACATGTTGCTTCGACCTTATGAAAAATAAAAAAATAAAAAATGTTATTGATAAGCTACTACGAAACGTTTATACTGTAATATTATTATTGCTTACCTGTGTCAAAGTAGCCACCGCCAGTGTTGCTATAATTGCAAAGGTATTCATTTTGTATTATTGGTACCAGAATGAGAACAAAACGAATACTGTTGGTAAAGCATTTCGGCTGTACGTCTCTTATATAGTTTTTCCTCACATAATTGTTTTTCTTACATCCACGTTCCGTTAAATTGTAGATTACTCTATTCACTATTGTGATCGTCGATTTGTTGATTTCAAACGTTTTTGGCGTTATTGCCGGTTTGTTAATCTATACAAATATGTTTTATATTTTTCACTAGAGCAGTTTTAATATAAGATAGTTATTTGTTACAGTTATTAACTATCATGAACATAATTAAAAATTGTCTTTAGATTATTAACTATACAAATATTATCAATAATACCATTAATATTTATACTAGTTGTACTGATACATATTAAACAACTTATATTACTAGTACTTACTTAATATGTATACACATAATATTATTAAGACATACATGGCGCGGCGATTATTTAGCTAGTCTACAAAGTCAAAAATAGCATATTTATGAAGTTTTAGAACGAACAAATTATTTTTGATTAAGTTGTAAATTATTTCTACAAAATTTGGAAATTATGCTGTTTATGTATTGATTATAAAATGTATTGTGATACTGTTAAGGTTGTTATGGAATGGTTGGAGGCAGTTCCCGAAAATGAGCCGAACACGAAAAATTGTTGTGTAAAACATTTTGTGCAATCTAAATTTATCCAACAATTTATGAAAATAATTTTTTGTTAATGTACGGGTGGGTACATACTGTTTAGTTGTAACATGTATTTGGTAGATTCATTTTTCTTTCTGATAGATACGTCTTGATTTGATATCAATGATTTTGAGATTTTAATAAAAAATTTAGATTCTGAGTGGAGCTTACAAAATTTTGTTTTTTTATCTTTTAACAATTTTTCTATCAGAATATTTGCTCGGATTTCTAAGTGTAGAAATTTTTCTGAAAGAAAATCGGTGTAGGGAGGTACTTTAGGGCGGTCATTTTTCGAATTTTTCAGAAGTTTTCTCATCAAATTTGAAAAACTGAAAAATAAAAACGAGAAAATATAAGAAATGTAGGTAATTATTAAAATATATTACGGCCTTATTTTTTTCTATGTACAACTTTTCTACTAACAATTTTGTTCCAACTTTTAATGACAGCAATGTTTTTAAAAGGGAATTTAACTATGGAGGTACTTTAAGGAAGTAATTTTTCTATTTTCTCAGGAGTTTTCCCAGCAAACGTGTACAACCTGGATAAAACATTGGAAAACCGGGAAAATCGTAGAAAAATTGGGATAATCGGTACAACATCAAACAAATATTATTAAAGAAAATATATAAAGTTTATTCAATTATTTTAGTATAAAATGACATATATATTGTTGAAAAAGCATCACTATCACCAATAAAAATCATTTTTTCGTAATCAATGGCCTATCGGTTGATAGGTTAATTATTGTCATAACCCTCACTTTTTTTTTAATTCGAGGTTATGATCGAAATTTTCAAAATTGATAAGATAGAGGCAAATACAGATTTTGGCTAAAGATTGTATCCTTAATGGCTAATATGAATAGTTTTTGTCTTAATTTATCCGAATCATATTAATAAAATTATTAAATTTTAACACAAACGGACACACTTCGCACGACGGGTGGGTTACTGTTGTAGATGAACAGTTAGGAAAGTAACAGTTATTACAGTAACGATTGTACATTAAGACATAAAATTAAAAATAAGAATTAGAACTATAATGACTATTAGGTGAAAATAAATTTCATATAAAAGAATTAAAAAGAGAAGTCTTATTTTGCAGGGCACATGTGCAGGAGAATAGGAGAGTTAGTCGAGAAATAAGCTAGAAAGGGGATATGGAAAAAGACAGGGAGAAGTAAATCCTTAGTCGATAGTTTTGTTTAATTAATAATTAAATTAGAAAATGTAAATTATATAATTATTAATAACAATATAATATTAATGCTAATAATATGTTGTTTGTCGAATTCTGCCTGAATATAAATATTATGCATAATATTAAATTATTAGTAGGTTAGGTATACAAGAATTCATACACATTTTGATATTAAAACTATTGAATTCTTATTTTTAAATACTTCAAATATTGATTAAATAACAGCAATGAAAATAATTTGTATAATTGAGATTAATTATTTTTTATTGCGTTTAATTTTTTAACGTATTATTTTTTGTTAACTATTAATATTTAATTTAAAACATTTTTATATATTTAACTTAACTTAAACTAGTTCATTTTTTTCATTAACTTGCCCACCTTTTGTAGTATCCAGTGTACATTTTTGCACACTAGTGTGTAATGAACAGCAGTTTATACTACGAGTATTACACACCAGATAGTGTAACCAACTAGGTACCTATAAATTGCTTAAGAACAACATAAAGATATATAGTAGGTATAAATAATATACGCTTGACTTTACAGTTCATTATATTATCATCAAAAAAAAAAAAAAAAAACTTTTTTTATGTGCATCCAGTAAAATGTCATTTTTGAGGGTTCCATGAATTGACCTTAAATCCGACAATATATAGCAATAATAAATAATTGTTAAATTTCTAACATGTAAAATTACATCAAAATTTTAAGTTATACATTAAAACCTTAATTTAATATTATTTTATTATATGTAGGTACTTCAAAAACTGTAAATTGTTTTTAATCTTTATAGATTGTTAACTACATAAAATATCGAAAATTGTATTTTATTTTAATTTTATTTTTTTAATTACTATACTTTTTTTTGTAATCATTCAGCCAATTTTTCGAATATCTTTTATTTTATATTAATTATTTGGAATTGTAATATCACGATGTATATAATGATAATTCAGTAAACTTTAACTGCATTATTTGCATTGGAATTCAATAAAACACTGGTCTAATATTAATTTAATCTCAACAATGTAAAAACTAATTGTTTGTTTCCTGATAATGGATATGATAAATATATCACATAAATTAACAATTTAACAAACACAACGACAAAATTATTGGATACGTATAATCTGGTGAAGTTAGTTTTCCAATCAGTTTTAATGAACGTGAATAGATTCAAAACATCAATTTATTACATACTCGGTGTAAGTATAAAAGCCATAATTCGTTGGTACATTACGCATATTAATCCATCATCTCTTCACTCTAACACAACTATTGAAAAATGATTTCATTAAAAGCCATAGTAGTTTTGGCAGTGTGTGGTTTTTCCACAAAGGTAATATATTTTTTTTAATATTGTAAATATGCTTATATCATACATAATTATATAACTAATGGTTTAACATGGTTCTATTTTCGAAGGCTGGAGCAAGTCCATGTGGTGAGTGCATACCTTTGTCCCCACCATGTTTGCCACCATTTTCGACACTGGACTTGGCACCACTTTTACTTGGAATTTCAGCCCCACCTCCACCATGCCTGCCACCACCATACTTACCACGTCCATACCTGCCATCACCATGCTTACCACCACCATACCTGCCATCACCATGCTTACCACCACCATACCTGCCGCCACCATGCTTACCACCACCATACCTTCCACCACCATGCTTGCCATCACCGTGTCTCCCGGAACCAATTCCTCTTCCGGCCCCACTTCCTGTTCCGGCCCCTCTTTCTCCTCCAGCAGAAATTCCTCTTCCACCCCTGTCACTACCACCAGTACTACCACCTAGTTTGGTTCCTCTTTTAGGAGCACTTTTACCACTATTAACTACATCTTTAGGAAGTTTGCCACTACCTACATTGTTACCATTTCCTCTCCCGTTACCACCACTTCCACTCCCGCTTCCACTTCCTGAAGCACTCCCACTTCCACCTCCACCACCTCCATGCATACCATTACCACCACCATCCATACCATTACCGCCACCATGCTTGCCTTCACCATATCTGCCATCATCATGCCTACCACCACCATGCCTTCCACCACCATGCCTACCACCACCATGCCTACCACCACCATGCCTACCACCACCATGCCTACCACCACCATGTCTACCACCACCATGCTTTCCAGCATATTATTAAAGCGCCTTATGTTCTTTGATCATTGATGGTCTACTTTTGATTACTGAAAATGTAATAATTTAATGTTATACACACAATTAAACTATCATAAATATATTATTCGATTCATTACTTTAAATTTTGTGTACACAATCATTTATATTATACACTGTAAATCATCATTGAATATTCATTAAAATTATATCATTTAAGAAAAAAAATTTAATTTTTCATAAATATTAATCTTTGTTATTGTTGATTTCTAGCCACAAATATTAACATAATTTTATATCATGGATCATTACTACTATGTCGTTTATACAAACTCCGTGTACATAGTATAACATTACTTTTACTAGCTGCCCCGTGCCCGGCTTTGCAAGTGCTAATTTGTTTTTTTTTTTATCCATATCCATTTTTTATTTTGACCGTGTCAGAATTGAATGAAAACATTTAGATGGAAAGTGGGTTGTCCACCTTTGGCGGACTAAAAGTGTTCTATTGTGAAATTTTAATGATGTAAATAATATTAATTAATATAATAATTATAATAGTTTTCTTATTCGTGACAACCAAATTATCATCCGTATCACCAAGGTAACCCTTGAACAAACGAAAATAAATAAATAAGCAATTAGATATTCATAGTAAATATAACTAAAATCCCTATTTTACCACCTTATTGGTTTAATTTTCAAAAATCCTTTCTTAGCGGATGCCTACGTCATAATATTTATCTGTGTGCCAAATTTCAGCCCGATCCGTCCAGTAGTTAGGCTAGGCGATGATGAATCAGTCAGGACAAGATATTATATATATATATATATACATAGTAAATACTATACGTTTATAATACTTGTATACTTTTAAGTGTATAATACACTTAAAGTAAAAGTAAAATGTGTAATAAGGTAGATACTTTAAAAATTAGAATTGCGCCTATTTCCGTATTCGTATTATCTTTAACAACAAAATTACGATTATTATTAAGTCTTGCTGTGAATTACTATGATTGAATAGGTTAAATAGGAATATAAAAATTTTAAAATATATAATAGTAATAGTATCATAAGCATCTTTATATTAATGTATATACAATTTTTAAAACATTAATGCATAATTTACTTTTAGTGGAACATGGAGGTGCCATTGTAGTTAAAAGATTGGCATTGGATTTAAGAATCAATAAAATAGGCTGTTACTAAAAAAAAATGTATACAAGTAGGTACATATCATATGGTATACTATAGTTTGCTCTCGTGATTAGCAGGAATTAAAATAAAAACAAATATAGAAATCCTTAGTTCTAACATCCAATTCATTTCCTGTCCGATTCGTTCCTATCATTCAAATGAGTAACAAAAGTTTTTTTTCAATTTTTTTTCGGTCAACTTGGTATCGCGTCAATCAACCGAAACACCGAATGCTTACAGTCACTATGCTTAATTATACCGCCTATGAGACTTTAAATAAAATATTCATACGAGTATTGCTATAGCCAGAGGGACACTAGTGGCACGTGTCTCCCCCTCCCCAAAATTTTTGTTTGTAATGCTGCATAACGGTTTTTAATTAGTAAGTAGTACTAAATTATAAGTATAAATATATTGTTTTATGTTATTATATGAATCAAAAATTGCAGAAAAGGTCTGCATTTTTAATTTCTAATGAAATTGAGTTATACCGAATTTGTATTTATTTATCTTAAGTAAGTATATATTTTATGTAAAAATGGGATAAGTCCATCAAACCGTTATGGAAATATTAACAGCTTAAGTTAGTGTTTAGCGCAGAAAGGGCATAAGTCCAGGGAAATGTCTCCATTCTGAGCTAAATATCTAAATAAATTACTGTGACAAAGTGGTTTTTGTATAATGTCAGCCATAGGTTTTCTCAGATCTTACCATTAACAACCAACTCGCTAGAAACTTAAATAATAAATTAACCTAAATAATTACATTTTCCGAATCGCTTAAAAGAATAAAAGCTTTACCACTACAAAAATTATGTTTTTATTACTGACCTCCGTGTTTTAAATGTATTTAAAATGGTTAAACACTTAAAGGGGACATGCCTAACAATTTAAAATTGCTGTCAATGTTCATGTTAAATTTTGGAAAATATCTAGATGATTAATTTTTAAAAATGTGCGCATTAATGCGATTTATTCATTTATATGTCTAGCTACTTCTCAATCTTGTCTAGACAATTTTTCGCGCCTTCTGAAATATTACGTTTTAGGGACATGCCCCTGCAATTAGTGATTCATATATTCTCTTACAGGTTACAAACTTTGTTTAAATTTTTGCGTTGTAAAACCAAGGGTGTATAAAATAATACGTGATAAAGGAATAAGGGAGGGGAGTCATAAAATAAAAGGTGACAATTATTCCAGCTTACCAAAAACTGGATAAAAAAATGAAGTGCCTCGAAAATTTTTTCTGATTACGGTACTGAATACGAGTATGTTATTTCTAGTGTACCTACGCCAGTGTAATTATTACTGGTTTTTGTATACGTCTATGTTATAAAATTAAATTAAATTGTGCTGGCTGGTACAATTTCAATGGGCACTTGATATAATATATTATGAAAGTGCATTGGTGTTGCTAGATTGGTGGTATACTGTTTTGTATCCTTACATTTATATGGCAGCAATAATATCTTTGTACGCGCAAGTTACACGAGCTGGTGGTAAAGTAGCTAGTATAGTAGCTATTTGTTTAGATACGATAATAACTTACATTTCTTTCTTTTTTTTTTTTTTTTATGACATATCTCTCTACCTCCGTGTCACAAGCTTGCTTAAAGGAGACAGATTAATCGCAACAATAATTGTATGAATTTTGTTTTGGTTTATTAAAAAAAACAATTTAAAAAAACAAGAGAGTGAAAACAATTTTTTTTAAATGCATCATTTGTTTTTTATTTTCATAAAATTCGAATAACACAAACGCAATGGTGTATACTTTGATATTTTAAAATAATTAGTATAGCAATGTATTCAATTTTAGAAATGAGCGTATGTGGGTCAATATGATATTATTATAGAGCATTTGACGTGCAATATTGATATATTTATATAATATATGAGGTGCATGGTTATGTGCTGATTATTGTGCAACGATTATTCCGTGGAAGGTATTTCGTTTTCGTTTAAGTATTTGATGGACTTGAGAACAAATTTTGGATGTTTGTGCGGTTTTTTGAACGCTGAACCGCCGAATGGCGACGTGGCGAACACAATTTGATATTCATGTGGACGTTGGTCGCTTGGATTTTCGGTGACGGCATCGCGGTCGGGAACCGTGGCGACGGTGGTGGAATCCGACGGCGAAACGTCCGGAGCAGTAGTGACTACGCTATCCGGCTCGAAAATCGGCAGGTCGGAGTCGGAGTGACGGACCGCGCTCTCCGGCTCTCCGGGAACGGGTTGTTCCGGGTCCGCCGGGCTCGCAGTGGTCGGTTCCCCGGAAACGCGTTCTTCCGGCTCAGCAGCCGCGGTCGTGGCGAACGATTGCCGAACAACGGCCGGCGGCCATTGTGACGCGAACCCCCGCCGCAGGAACATGGCGTAAAACGGCATCGTGGTCCTGAAGTTGGGGAAAACCACGTACCGCCGAGGGCACGGCGCGGGCACGGTGGTGACCGGTTCCGGAGAAACGAGCGTCGCGGACGGTGACGGCGTCGCGGACGGTGACGGCGTCGCTTGGTTCACAGGCTTCGTCAGGGCGGTGAGCGCGTTGACGAACGCGGCCACGGCGGCCGGCAACGCTTTCAACAGCAACGTCGGGTCGGCGACAACCGTGAGCCGCCGTCGGACGTTCGGCGCGAGCGAACTCGGCTGCTGCGGTTCCGTGTAGTTCGCGACCGCGGTCGGCGGCCGGTCTTCTCCGACGGGTGGCGTCGAGGACGAGCTCTGTACACAGACACAGGAAATATTCGTGAATAGACGAAAAATCGAACGCGAAACTATGTCGTTTTTGGATTCGGAGCGTAACCGAGGAACGTATTGGTTTTATAATGACGTTTTTGTTTTTTTTTTTGAGTAAACAACGTTTCTGCTAGATTGGGAAAAACGGCAAAATGTACGTAAATGTACAAAAGAAATCGCGCTCCGAATAGTTTTTCGATAGCGATGGTTTATGGTTTATCGTTGCGTACAGTTTTAAATCCAATACCCCTCTGCATCCTGCTTTCCCAACACGTCACCCACAACGGTGGCCCACCCGTCGTGCGAAGTATGGCCTTCATTTTCGTTACGAATTTTTCGAAATGCACTTATTTATTTTATTTTTTTTTTTTCACTCCGTAACGTCGAGTTCGGACGAGATTTAGACATTGCTGGCGAAGCGTTTCAAACACGCGTTTGAAACGTTCACGGATTGAATGAAAACACGTAATATTATGTTCTGAAAAGTGAATATATTTACACGGTCCGTTATTAAAATTATTAATTAACAGTTTCTGTGCGACATCCGAATAAAGGACTACCGTCTTTAACTTTTTTTCATTGTTATATCGTCTGTAAACAATTTACAACGCGGTCCTGTAAATAAATTAACCGTTATATCCAAAAAAAAAAAAAAAATTATTAAAAAAAAAAAAAAAAAAACGGGTTTTTCTTTTATTCTTCTTGGTTTTTATTTGCGACCCCGTATGCGATTTGTTTGTTTACGGTACGTATTTAAACGGTGTTCCGGCGACGAGGTCGTGTGTCGTATAGTGTCGTGCGCGAACATAAATATGCCGAACGACCGACTGGCTGTTCGTAATCCGAAACGAGTTCTCTACTTCTGACACTGCGCGTGAAAACGTCCGAGGCCCGTCCTAAACTTGCGCGTACTCTGCGGGTACAGACTACGATTAAAATCTAACAACGACCGGGGGGAACTACACAGACAGAATTTGCATTCGTCCGGTGAAAATCGGAGCCTCGACGTTTCCGGTACACGAGTTGTCAACGGGCAGAACAAAGAATTAGCGCATACTACGGTAAAACCAATACATTCCTCGATACGCTAAAAAAAAAAAATTAAAAAAAAAAAAAACTGTAAAGTTTGAAAAGTGTTTAATAGACGGTGCGATAGTGTAGGACAGGGACGGGAAATCCGTAGCACGCGTGATCGAGATGACACGTGAAACAATGTTCAGGGCATGCGAACAATTAAAATATTAATAATTTATTTTTATTTTTAATAACAATTAATAACATCAGAATTTGCATTAAAAATCTAATTTTTTATTACAATATATATGCGTAATATTTTTTTAATAATTTAATGGCACGCTTGAAAGAAAAAATAAAAAAGGTCAATTTTTGTCAAAATAATTTGCCATCCCGTTGTAGGATAATTTAATTTCCGCATAATGATACATTATGATACATAACGCGTTGTGTTCAGTGTAACCCGGGAATCGAGTAAAAAAAATTATCGACTTTTTTTTTAAAAAAAATATTATATAGAAAAAGTTTTCGGGAACATACGGCGTTTTATTCGCCGAACAAAAACGTACTACCGGTCGAGACGTCCGCGTGATATTTTATCGTACGATGCGCGAATGGTCCGGAACGTTTTTACCGAGAAGCGAGAATAAATCGTCTCCCGCCCGTAAGTGAAAAAAAAAATAAATAAAAACCGACCCGGAGATCGGACTTTCGGAATTGCCGAACTGCGAAATTCGAGTAAAGCACCGCCGCCGCCAGACCGCGGATCCCGCGGCTGTCCGAGGCGGTTTTTACGCTGACGCGAAAAGCGTTTTTCGAGGCCGTCGATAAATACACGCGCGCGCACTCCGGCGAAAACCGAAGTTCTTTTTTTTTTTTTTTTTCTCTCTCCCGCTCCGCGCCCGGAATCCGAGAACGGTACGACATTGTCGCGCGCAAACGGCGCGGAACGACGCGCACGAGCGCGTGGTTTCACAAGACAGGGTACGTACCGCGAGCTCCAACGATCCCACGGCTACGCAGACGGTCAACACGGCGCGCCAGTTCATGGTGTTGTCGATCAGCGCGTTTTTCGTGACGGTACGGCCGCGCGGCGACGACGACGGTATTGTGTCGGCGGCGCGGACGCGTTTCGGTTTTTTATATCCCGCGCAACCGTCCGGGGAACGGGAATATCTCGGATTCGACGGATTCGGCGATAGCGCCCGCAATCTGTTAGTTCCGTCGAACTGCTGATAACGGCGGTTTTGTCCGACTCGCGTGTTGTTGTCATTATCGCCGGGCTATCGGCGGCCGCTGCGCAGACAACGCGAAACGCAATCGGCCGCCGCCGTGCTGCGCGGCCGTTGTCGCGAGCGCACCAGCGAGGCCGTTCGTCGTGGGGGGGGGGGTGGTGGTGGAGAGCTGGGTGGAGCGCGTTCGAAAAACAAACAAATGCGGAACGTGATCCCGACACCGGGATGAACGGGAAAAACGAACGGGCGCACTTCCGCACGGCGGGCGGGCCGCCGTCGCGGGCGAGCAGTTGGGTGGGCGGACGGGCGATCGAACGTGTCTGTGTCCGCACGCAAAGATTGAACACCGCTAACGCAAAAAGGATTCTGAGCGGGGTTCGGTTACGCGTGTTTCGGAAGGCCGCACAATATTTACGATTTGAACGTACTACACGTTTCCCGGTTTTTTCCCCCGTTTATTATCGAATTCCTGGGAAAATCGAAAAACAAAAAAAAAAAAAAAAAACGATCGCTCCGAGGTATCACCACAGTCAGATTTACTTTCCGAAAAATGTCGACACTCGAAAATCGGAGCGAAATTTCTAGTAGAATAGTTGTTTACAGGAGGAAAAAAATCCTAACATCATTGTAAAACCAATACTCTGATTATCTCCGAAATCTATGGAGTGTTCGTTAAATAAATTATTCGAGTGTTGACATTTTTGATTTCCGTCAAGCCGTTGACATGATATTCCACTTTTAAGTTTCGGTTGGAGGAAAATAGTGGTGCGATATTCCACTACTCTCCTCCAACCTAAACTTAAAAGTGGAATATCTCGCCAACGGCTTAACAGAAATCAAAAATTTCAACGCTAAAATTTATTTTAACCAAATACTACGTCTATTTATGGACTTTTTAGCATAGGTTGCCGTTTGGAAATCAAAAATAATGATTCTACCCCGAAAAATAACATAAATATAAAATTGTAGAGCGGCTCATTTGTTTAAACGTTCTCGAAAACAAATTCCGGAAAAATTTAATACTTTCCGAGATAATGAGTGTGCCCACTTAAAACGCCAGTAGCCGATGGGATCGGGGGTCGGAACTTCAAACCTACTAAAGGCACATCATCGGCAACAACTCTATACGTTGACATTTTAACTAAGTTACTTGTGCTTTGAAACTTGAAGCTTTTGGGGTATTCAAGACCCGCTATTTCCAGTGAATACATGAAATCTAAGCACAAAAGTTATCGGAGTAGGAAGTTGAAATTTTTAACTCCCAGAAGACAATACACAATACAGTGCAATTATTATCTTTATTTTCGAGGAAAACTCGACGAAAACCGGTAGGTATCGCTCAAATACTCAATTTGATTATCTAAAAAGCAAACGGGAGTTATTTCTAAATACCTGAACAATAATTACCGTATTACTATCAGTAACAAACATTAAACATTTACAGAGTGATCCATTTAAGTTACTGTCGATATTTTTTCGACGTTTTAAGAAACAAACTGCAGCTCCGAAATGTTTAACTTAGCACTGTTCTTTCGTCACCCTAATTTGTTTGGGATGAAACGGCTACTTACTGTCGATTTTCAAACGGTAACCTATACTAACAATTCCATAAACAGATTAAATTAGTATTTTAAACAAACTGAACAAATTTGAAGAGTTAATTTGATTTTCTGTTGAAATTCTCGACTTCCGACTTCCGTTTAAGTTTGGATAGGGTAAAAGCAGTGACGCGTCGTCACTCCAACGGTGTCCCGCTAGCCACCGTCTCCCTGTACAAAGTTAAAAGTGGAATACCTCGTCAACGGGTGGACGGCAAAGCGTTTCAACACCGGAATCGATTCAAATAACACTCCGTCTATTAATGTAATTGTAAAATGTATAGGTTGCCGTTCGAAAACCGTAAGTAGGCGGTAGTTGTTTTACCCGCAAAAGTAACCAGTGACGAAAAATAACGGAAACGTAACATTTACTGAGGTCTTGAATTGCCGATAAAAATAGAAAAACAACCGTTTGTAAAAGTAAAGTCTTGTAGAAACATCGAATGTAGTCGCTAAGCGTGGATCCGCCCTGTGCGCGTCTTAAAAATGTAATAATATATTCAACGATATTTACGAAAAATAATAGGTTTTCGAAGCGATTCGTTTTTTATCGTTAATGCTGTTTACCAAATACATGACAAATTTATGAAATACGATTGCCTATCGTTGGTTTAGTTATTACCGTTCGACTATTGACGATAATTTCGACGGGCGATTTTCTTTATTTTTTTGCTAACATTTTCGTCGAAAATACCACCGGGAAAACGCCATGATCCAAAACTCAAATTGAGTTGCAATGTAGAATACGCATGGGGTGATTCACTAAGCGCGCTCACCCCCATTGTTTTTATTTAATTTCGCAAGTATTCAAATTCCGGAATGTTTCAGTGTGCGTTTAAAATTTAACAAAAAAATTGGGCTGAGCACGTTTAGTAAATCATTCTGTATATATTTTTTATTATTTTTTTTTTCTGGTTAACGTCAGCGTCGTGCAAAAAGTGATGGACGGAATTAAGAATTTAAAATATTCAATCGTTTTGATTCTAAATCCAGAACTCGTATATTATACTATAGTGTATACGGTTACAAAACCATTGTAACCGGTATCCCGTCAAAATGTCGTCATATAAAAAAAAAATTCAACTTTTTCAATTTGTTTTAAATAAACGTGCAAATTGTACATAATATGCGTGAAAGGGTTAAACTTTGTACATTCTGTAGTCGTCATTTATAAAGTTTGTATAGTTATTATACACGATTTTGTTTTTTTTTTCACACTGTAACAATTCAATGTTGAGTTCCCGAGGTTAACAATTAATTTCGATTTTTATCGGTTTACTAAGAAACGCGAACGATTGAATAATTTAAAAGTTTAACGATTTACTGCTGGCGTCGAACCTCCAGCCAGAAAAAAAAAAAAAAAAAAAGAAGAAAATTATAATACAAAGACTGTGCAACTGCATAGCTATAATACCAACATACGTTTTTTTTGTTTTTTAATCAATACGCAAAAATCGTCGATGGACGACTGCTTAGGCGGAATATCACGCAATTTCCAATACCAATCTTAATACAAACAATACAATTATTTTTGAACAGATACAATAGATTTGATTATAGATATGCATACACACTAATAGTATAAAATATGAAAACTAAAAAATGTACAATATTTAAGAAATTATCATTTTTTTTTTCACCGTACATAAATCACACTAAATAGATTAATAAAAACTAAAAAGAAAAAAAGTCGATTGTTAGATTTTTACACATTTTTTATGCGGCGAGATTTTCGTGCTGTCGACATTTTTGCGCTCGCGACTTTTTTGACCGCGACATTTTAACCCGGATTCATACTTACCGCATCACTTTTTTCGTACACAAATATATATATAATTATATAGGGACGAAATAATAAGGCATTTGTAAAAATACTAAACAAGTTTAATTGTTTAATTATATTGTAATCGGATTAAAGCGTAATGTTTAAAACCGAACGTATCGAGTACAATTTGTACAACTTCTGTTAACACCCCAGTTCTGGTCCGTAGTCAGGACTCGGCTCCCTCAAATCTCAAACGCTTTTCGCGCCTGAATTTTGAAATATATATTTTATTTTTTTCTTGTTTTGTTTTTGGTTTTGTTTTCTATATTAAATTCCGAGCGTAGTCTGTAGACACGTTTTTTCCTAGTAAACTTGCTCCGATTTTTACGTGTAGCAATTTTTCTGTAAGCTTAAGTTGTCTAATATGTACTTCTAATATGTACTATAAATTCATTTTCCGATTTTCGGCGCCATTTTTTAAATAAAAGCACTTAAGTGGGAAAAAACGTACAACTTCACGATTTCATAATATTATAAAAACACGGACAACGTTTTCTACCAGAAAAAATGATTTAATCGAAAAATCATAAGACACCTTTTTTATTTCCTCGCCAAAACTTTTGATCCGCTTTAAAGCTTTTAAATAATTTTAATTTTTTGGGAGTTTTTTCGTTGTAATTCGGTTATAAATACACGTGTAGACGTTAAACTTGGTAATAATATTACATATTGGACTTACCTAGACGTGGTAAAATTTCAAAAATCATCGGACGAATTTTTTTTTTTAATAATCGTTTTGAAATTAAATTTAAACGAAAATCGCAACAATTATGTATTACAAAACTGCGCTCGGAATCGTCTGGAATGTCATGCAATGGCTTACCGTTGTTTACAGATATAAATGAAATAAACTTATGTATTCTACCTACCCAACTTCTCACCTACAGCAGTGGCCGCTCCCGTCCCAAGTATCAGTTTATTTTTTTGAACTTAATGTTTACGTAAGCCAGAAACAAAATGTTTTCGCCGCCATGATTTTTAAATAATTTCGACTTTTTATTCTTTTGTCCGACACGTATTCGTTTGTTTTTGTTATCGTATCTGCTTATCGCGTACGTCATGGCTGGACATTCGCGAGTATAAAGTTTTAAAAATTTTCGAGAGTTCTTATATGAAATTTGAATATTTTTTTTTTTTCAGTCGCCTTTTTGTCGATTATAAATGTAAATTCCGAACGTTGATTACGATATATAAATACAAATTTTCAAAATATAATCAATTGTTACAATCTATTTTCTCGATGATTTCGTATTAGATTACCTATTTTAATAACTATTATCTTTTTTTTCAAAAATTCTTTTACTCGTTTTAGTAACATTATGTGTCTGGTTGAATCAATATCGTCGATAACGTGCAATTTACACGGTATGCAATTTTATATTATTTTTTCGGTTCCACGTCCGCAGTCGTATAACATATAAATAAAAAACGTTAAATAATTCGTAAATAATATAATAACATCACCACGATACCTAAGTAAACGTATATTACGTTTATCAGAACAAAGCGATAAAATACGTATAAATTCGTTAGCTTTAATCGCGAAATATACAAGTGTACATATATACGTATAATAACATTGACACAATTAACTAATACGTAGGTATGTGATTGATATTTACGTATGCATGTGTAGGTACAAGTACAAATAATAGACAAATTAATATAAAACGGTTACGTAAACAATACAACAAATAGTACACTATGGCGGGTGTCAGGAGCGCGTCCGTGAATATTTTTCCGGATTACGAGGGGGGGGGGGGGGGGGGGGGTTTAAAAATT